GCTTCAGGCCCTCTCGAACGACTGGTTCAGCTTGCACACAGTCAGGGCACCAACTTTTCCCTTCGGCGTCCTTAGAACCCGTAAAGTAGGCAAAAATGGTCTTGCCATTGTGCTGCTCTACGGCCTGGTTGAATTCCTCGAAGCCCATCACGGGTACTTCCTCATAGCTGGCCATTGAGACAAAAAGCCCCAAGTAAGGAAAAGAAATAGCAAAACCCGCTGCCCTGGGGCGGGTCCCACGTGCGATGGGCCCTCATTTTTAATGGATGTTGTTTTTGTTGTTAGGTGCCCTTGAGTATGACTCACAGCAACCCTGTAAATAAGAGATTTGAATCCTGCGCCATTCTCACCTTCTGATACACTTGAGCCCACCGCTAAAGTAACCATGTCAATTCATCTCTTTTCCCAGATTTAAAAAAAAAATCCCATTTTTTAATTGCTGAGGATACAGCAAAACATATACTAGTTCATAATTTCTTCATATACAATTCAGTGACAGTGACTTCATTCTTTAATATCATTTAAAGAATTCTCACCTTTTTCTGACTGGTTCCTTCTCATTAACATAACCCTACTACTCTGTTAAGGGAGCATTGGTGGCCTAATGGCAAGAAGCTGCGTTACAATCCTGAAGGCAAGTGGTTTGCATCCACCAGCTTCTCCATCTTTTTCTATGGAATAAGCAGTCTTCTCTTATGTTTTTGAAAATCTTTCTTTCTAGATATATATTTATTTTCATTTAGTAGCCAGTTTGGCTCTCAGAGAAACTGTTTAAGATTTTTTGTTCAACTAGATCAACTATTATTAGTTACAAAGGTAATAAAGGATTTTAGTGTTTAATGTGAAATAATAATTGGCACAGACCGGACACTTAACTCTGCATCAGAATTTGTTCTTTTATATGTACTGACATCATTTTACAGAAGAGGACACTGTGACAGAAGATATTTAACAACTGGGCTATGGTCACACTGCTGGTAGCTCAATAAATGGTATAATTACCATGTAAGGATAATAATTTTATGTATACATTTTATGTATGCATTTTCTACTGAAGCAAAAGATTGAAAATTTCTACCAACTTTTGCAGTCTGATATTGATTCAAACATGCAATCAAGATGCATTAATAACAACAATAGCTGACTGGAATATAAAAGTTGGAAATAAAAATTTCAGTGCAGTACAGTCAACTCTATGTTGGCTTGGCAATGCTTCCCAGTTGTCTCCCATTTAACAATCTTTCTCTAGAAATATGGGCGTATGAATCTCCAGAGCACTCATTTCCTATGTGACATGGTTTGGAATAAGTACAGTTGTTTTAAATGGAGCTGAGAAATGATCTGTATCATAATGCAAGAAAAGGACATTAAGACTCGGATCCTATGGTACTAACTGTGAGGGAACTGGGTGATAGTTATGTATGATCAGAGTCTCAGGGTGGTGCAGATTATTTTGGCTAGCTTGGTGGTTAATTACAAGGTGAAGAGGACTGATCCCATCAAAGCATGTCTTAGCAGAAAGACCTAGAGAGTTACTTTCAAAACCTTTGAAAACCTCATGGAGCATAGTTCTATTCTCACACACATGTGGTCACTAGACTATTGATGGTATTTGGGTTTTTGTGGTTATAAATGACCAATATGTAATCTATATCCAAAATGATATCCTAATTCCAATTTTTTAACCCTATGTATAGAAAGTGACTCTAAGCCTAAGGGTCAGCACTGATAGGACAAAAAGTGAGTGCACCTAAACCACAGTAAGTCATGTAGCAAACTTTCTTCTTAGGGAATTTGAAATTGAGCTCTGCTGAATGGGATGTGGCTTTTGGAGCTATTGATAATGTCCACTTTCCTCCAAGGCAAATGGGAAATAGAAAATGAAGGCCAGTAAGAGAAGAAAAAAGAATGGGAGACAGCGAAAAACATGAGATGGGAAGGTAGAATTTCTTGAGTTCCTTCCTTACCTATCACCAGTGATTCTATTCAGACTCATAGCAACCCTACAGGACAGAGCTGAACTTCCTTACAGGGTTTTCCAAGGCTATACTTTACACAGAAGTGGACTGTCACATCTTTCTCCTATACAGCAGCTAGTGGGTTTCAAGCACAGTCTTGTGGTTAGTAGCTGAGTGTTAACCTCTGAGCCACCAAGGACTCTGTGCTTCCGCCTGAAGAGTATGACATTGTTTTCACCTGGAGACTGGCTGCCTGCTTACCCTCAGATTCTGTGGGGCACACCTGTATTTTTTTTTCCCTTACACAAGATGGGAGGGTTTGCTGTTAGTTACTAACAATTGCAAAAGCTAGAGTGGGGAAAGATGGGGTATATGAACACTTTCCTTCATTCACAGTGTTTCATACAATCAAGCCCAGATACTGTGTTTTATAAAAGCAATCACCACTGAACTATGCCCCACCATTACCCTATCTTTTCAGTTCCCCACTGGATCTTTCCTATTTCTTTCACCCCTTCCCACCACCCTCCAAACTGTGTGACACAGTGATTTTCTCCTGCCCATCCTCATCCCTCTACTCTCATCTCTTTCCTTCTTGGACCTTCATACATATTTTACTACTTAGCTTTCCATTTTTACAATAATGGTCTAACACAGTATTTGTTTTGGACTGTTTTTTGTCAGTTCTAAGGTCCTGAGCTCCAAGGCGAGCTATGTAATCTTTATGGGATTGAACAGTCAGGTTTTTCTTTCTGGTGTAGCTGCTAATGGGTTTACACTGCTGATCCTTGTGGTTAGCAGTCGAGGGCTAAAGCACTGGAATCTCAGGGTTTCATGCAAAAAAGAAAATCTATGCCAGTTTCTGAAAGGAGGCTCAGGGTCCTGCTCAATCCATCAAGTGAGCTCCACCAATTCAGAAGTTTATACAGACGTATAAGCACCAAGGAAAAGAGAAAGCACGCTGCTTACTATCTTCAATTAAAAAGAACTGCGTAGTTGTTTCTGACCGTGTCATGCCTAAGCACTGGCTGCCAAAGTTTCAGATCTACAGAGACACTAACCCAACATGGACTCAAACAAACACAAAATGACCAGACCAAAATTGTTAGTGTCGAATCAATTTGAATTCAGCAACTCTGTAAGATGCTGCATAGGGTTTCCAAAGGCTGCAATCTTTACAGAAACAGCCTGACACATCCTTTTCCTGAGGAGTGGTTGGTGTGTTAGAAATACTCATTTTTGGGGTAGCTGAATGCTTAATTACTGTGTTGTTGTTGTTGTTGTTATGTGCCGTCGAGTCGTTTGCGACTCGTAGCGACCCTAGGCACAACAGCCCTAAACCCTGCTCTATCCTGAGCCAACTGCACTGCCTCTGACACACCCATCCCGATTACCCCAGTCACCGAATCAATCCATCTCATAGAGGGTCTTCCCCTCCTGCGCCGTCCCTCCACCCTCCTAAGCATGATGTCCCTCTACAAGGACCCGTCCCTCCTGGCAACATGTCCAAAGTATGTCAGACGAAGCCCCAGAATCCTTGCCTCCAAGGAGTTGCTTGGTTTAATCCTCTCCAAGATGAATCTGTTTGTTTTCCTGGCAGTCCATGGTACATTCAGTACTCTTCTCCATAATTACTGTACCACAGAGAAACTGTAAAATGAACTCATCAAGGTTAAATAAAGCCCTGAAGACCAATGTGAAATGCTATTGCAGGGTTTTGTATTAGTATTCAAATTAATCTGGACATTATTATTGACAGTAACTACTAAAGAAAGATTTCAAAACATGCACAAGGTGTATACAGCTGCACTGGGAACCGTAAACTGACCTAGCAGTCTGAGACATACTAGTGCTCTGGTAGCATAACCTGTAAGGAGTTGTGCTCTGCTTCTCCGGCAGCTTGGATCCATCAGTAGCTCCAAGACAGAAAGATAGGCAATCTCCTCCTGCGTGATTTAGAGACTCTGAAAATGTCTTTCCTACTTGATGATATGGCATCTGAGGATGATCTTTTGTTTACAAAGGGCACGAAAACCAAAATGCCAAGCATCCTAAATTAATACTCAAAACTATAAAACATGAGTAGTCAGTGCTGGAAGATTTGTCAAGCTATCAATTATAAACCTAAACAGATTTCTAATTACCTCATTTCTTTGTATAACTCAGCTAGATTCTTCCCAGGTATAAAAATAATCAATCAAAAAATACATGAATAATTTTTTAATTAAAGTTTTTAATTTTTCTGTCATTTTAATTTTATACTTTCACACAGAATAAAAATGAGCAATACCAGTTTTTAAAAAAATTTTTTTAAAATTTATTTTTATTATTTTTGTGTGTGTACCGTCAAATCAGATCTGACTGGTACAGGAGGAGATTGTCCCTCCTTCCCCAGCAGAGCAACTGGTGGATTCGAACCGTTAGCCTCTGGGATTGTAGTTGCAGCGCCTTGCCACTAGGCCACCAGAGCTCCCCTGCAATACCACTGTTTTAAATATTATGTAATATTATTTCTTGTGTATCAGTAACCATCATATTTACCCTTAAAAATTAAGAAAATGTGGAAAAATGTCAAGTGGGAATTTTCTCTAGATTAGTACTTACAGGCAACCCAAGGTACTTAGCACTTATTCACACTGTCAGGCACAGCCAAAGCTTCATATATACTAACTCATATAATAATTCTCACAATAAATATGTGAGACTGGTTCTAATTTTATTCCTTTTACAGATGAAGAACAGTGTCACAGAGTCATGAAGTAAGTGTCTAGCTCCATTATTGGCAGAGCCTTGATTCAAACACTGGCAGGCAGATCCCAGTGTCTGCTCTTAGTCCTGTATCATCTCTCGGTTCATTATTAAATTCAACCAAAATCTTAACTACTAATGTCTATCTACAACTCATTTTTATGATGTTGGGGAAAAACACACATTTTTTACTACATACATATTTTGAAAATGGTATGAAAATGTTAGATACATTTTCAAAATTACCATTATTGGTAGCTTTTGAATGTTGCTTTTCTCTTTTGTGGAACTTACCAATAGTAAGATCATGCACAGGCTGAAATCTCTTGTCTGTAAATTGCAGTAATAAGCATGATTTCCCAACACCTGAAAGTTAAAAAGAAAAACAACATCCACAATGAGGTACCATCCCACTCCAGTAGCAGTGGCAAAGTTTAACAGGACAGCAAGTAATAAATGTTGGAGAGGATGTGGTGAAATAGGTCTTTTACATTGTTGGTGGGACTGTAAAATGGTACAACCACTCTGGAAGGCTATTTGGCATTTCCTCAAAAAGATGAACACAGAAATTCCATATGACCCAGTTATTCCATTGCTCGGAATATACCCCAAGAAATTAAGAACTGAGGCTCAAATGTAAACTTGTATACCAATGTTCACAACAGCATTACTCACCACTGCAAGAACATGGAAACAGTCCAGACGTCCAACCCCAAGTGAATGGATTGAGAAGTTGTGCTACATTCATACAATGGAATGCTACACAGCACACAGGAGCAATAATTTTGTAAATTACTACCTAATTTGGGATGGACTGGAAAGCATTATGCTGAGTGAACTCACTCAGTCCCACAAGGACAAATACCGTACAAAACCATTATAGTAGAATGAGTACGAGGATCCAAGGCAGAGGGTTGGGGGTTGATGGGGGTTAGGGTGGAAATAGGAGGGTATAGATGGGGAGGGGGTAGTGTGTTAATCATAGGGGTTACACAATTTGATGGGTGGGTGGGTGAAGGAAATGGGAAGGGATCTTTTGTGCAAAATAATGCATTCAAACTTTATAAATAAATCAGCATAAAATAAAAAAAGAAAAACATCAAAAAAGAGATAAGAATTAACAGGAATTAGGAAACACTTTATAAAAGCACTTGGAAAGGGGGCAGCTGGGGCCACTTTTCCATGTGCATAACTGTCACAAACAGAGTAAATAAGAGTAAATGTCCCTGAATTTTAAAGTTAAAATGGCAAATTTGTTATTTATATTTTTCCACAATAAAAACAAAATTCTTTGATCAGAACTTTTTTTAAAAATCAATATAGTATTTTGTTTTCTTGGCAGTCCATGGTACATTCAATACTCTTCTCCAGTACCACAGCTCAAAGGCATCAATTCTCCTTCTATCCTCCCTAGTCATTGTCCAACTCTGATGCATAACAAGTGATTGCAAAGACCATGGCCTGTTATCAGGCGCACCTTAGTCTCCAGAGAGACACCATTGCTCTTGAGTACTTTAGAGTGGTCCCTAACAGCAGACTTTCCCATTGTAATAAGTTTTTTGATTTCCTGGCTGCTGGTGCCAAGAGTGCTGACCGTGAAGCTGAGAAAACTGAAGCTGTGAACAATCTCAATCTCTTCGCCATCCATCCTGATGCTACCAATTGGTCTAGTGGTGAGAATCTTTGTCTTCTTAACACTGAGCCTCAGTCCGTACTGAAGGCTGCAGCCCTTGACCCTCTGCAGCAAGTGCATGAGGTCCTCCTCAGTTACAGAAAGCAGGGTTGTGTCATCTGCATAATGCAGACTGTTGATAGATCTTCCACCAATCCTGATGCCACACTTCTCCTCATAGAGCCCAGCCTCTCGGATAATCTGCTCTGCATACAGGTTGAAAAGGTATGGAGATAGGCTACATCACTGGCGTACACCCTTCCCAATTTTGAACCATGCAGTGTGACCCTGCTCTGTTCTGATGACTGCCTCTTGGTCCAAGTATAGGTTTCGCATTAGCACAATTAAATGTTCTGGGATTCCCATTCTTCTCAGAGTCAGCCACAGTTTGTTATGATCCACACAGTCAAACGCCTTTGCATAATCAATGAAACACAGATAGACATTCCTCTGGTATTCCTTGCTTTCAGCCAAGATCCCTCTAACATCAGCTACAATATCCCTAGTACCACGACCCCTTCTAAACCCAGCCTGGACTTCTGGCAGTTCTCTGCTGATGTACTGTTCCAGTCGTTTTTGGATAATCTTCGGTAGAATCTTGCTTTCATGTGAAATCAAGGAGATTGTTCTGTAGTTTCCACACTCTGCTGGGTTACCCTTCTTTGGAATGGGAACAAATATAGATCTCTTCCAGTCAGTTGGCCAAGTGGTTGTTCTTCAGATTTCTTGGCACAACTTGGTGAGCACATCCAGGGCAGCATCTGTGAGCTGAAATATGTCAATTGGTATACCATCTATTCCTGGGCCTTATTTTTTGCTATTTCCTTCAAAGCAGCTTGAACTTCTTCCTTCATCACCATAGGCTCTTGCTCAAATGTTATTTCATTAAATTCTTCTGTATCTGCCAATTCCTTTTGATACAATGACTCAGTATATTCCTTCCATCTTCTTCTAATACTTCCTGGGTCATTTACTATTCTGCCGAAAGCATCCTTGATTATAGCACCTCGAGGTTTGAATTTGTTCTTCAGTTCCTTGAGCTTAAGAAATGCTGAACAAGTTCGGCCCTTTTGATTTTCTGACTCTAGCTCCTCTCACATTTCACTGTAATATTTTGCTCTGTCATTTTGTATTGCCTTTTGGAATCTTCTGTTCAGCTCTTTAGTATCTTGAATTCTTCCTTGTGATTTCGCTTCTCTACGCTCCAGTGCAATCTTCAGAGTTTCTTCTGACATCCATTTTGGTGTTTTCTTACTCTTTTGTCTTTGTAATGACCGTTTGCACTCTTTCTACTCCTTGGAGGCAAGGATTCTGGGGCTTCATCTGACATACTTTGGACATGTTGTAAGGAGGGACAGGTCCTTGGAGAGGGACATCATGCTTGGGAGGGTGGAGGGACAGCGCAGGAGGGAAAGACCCTCTATGAGGTGGATTGATTCAGTGACTGGGGTAATCAGAATGGGAGTGTCAGAGGCAATGCGATTGGCACAGGATAGAGCAAGGTTTAAGGCTGTTGTACATAGGGTCGCTAGGAGTCGCAAGCGACTCGACAGTATATAACAACAACAATACAGTATTAAAATAAGGTTTGCATAAGAAAGTTTAACTTAACAATTACAACAAACTTTGAACAAAGAACTTACCAAATGTGGACTATGCTGGAGGTGTTTTATCACAGGTATACAACAGTAGGATATTCTTTAGGTAATTAACAGACTACAGGAAACATTACACGGAACTTAAGGAGTACTCCAACAAGTTCCCACACATGATGAAATTCTATCTGAATTTGCAACTGATTCGTCTTTTGTTTTCATAAAAAAACAAAACAAACAAACAAACAAACAAACAAAAAAACCCCAGTCAAATATGTTGACTTGGGAGAGATAACTTAGAAAAAATGATTGAATAAGAAATAGTTAAGTACCAATATATGAGGAACTTTACCATTTTACTATAATCCCCAGGAATAACAGATAAATTGATAGAGTTTCTGTCTGAAGTGATGAAAACCTTTGGAAATGTTTGAAGTAATTGTTGCTCAACCATCACAAATATACTTAATGTCACTTTACGGTGCATTTCAAATGGTTAAAGCAGCAAATATTCCATTACATAATTTACAGAATGTTAAATGTTATCAAAGTCAAAGCCACTGCCATGGAGCTGGAATCAACTCAGCAGACACTTCAATGGATTTTTGGAGGCTATAAATTGCATCGGAGGAGACTAATCATCTTTCTCCTGCAGAACACCTCGTGGATCTGAATCCAGATGAGAGATGCCAACCTTTGGGTTACTGAAACAACTCCGTAATTGAAGCAGGGTAAGGATCCTAGACTTGGAAAAGGAAGTTTCTCAATGAGGATGAGATATAAATAAATAACTACAAACAGATACCTGAGAAAAGAGTAGCCTGAAGAAACATCCATCAGAAATATTACAAGGGATGTGGTGGAGAAACAATGAGGCTCCTGTGGTTAAAGCCCAGAAGGCAGGGAAGGCTACAGGACTCAGAGGAGCCTAGATGTACAGGCTCCATGGCATATCACAAGTTTCCTCATGATAAAATGGAGACCCACAGAGGTTTTACAGCAGAAGAATGAACTTTACTTAAATTCTAAAAGAACTGCTCTGGTTGGTCCAATTAGGGCATTCTCACAATGAGGGAAGAAATAGTTCCCTTAGATGAGGACAGTAGATGAGCAGGATGTTGGACTTATTGATTGAAGATGGAAGTGAATAGTTTTGATAGAGAGCTGAAGAGAATCTAATGGTGTAGATATGGGTTTTGACAACGAGAGAAGTTTATCAAGGATGATTCAATCAAGGATAGTTTTGCCTCATCAGACAGACGAGTCAATGAGACTGGGAAAGCTGTAGGTACAGCAGGTACAAAGAGACCAGATCAAATTCCAGTTTGGTTATTTTTAGTTGAATTCTATATTAGATATCAAAATAGTAAAGATGAATAGGGAACTGGATGTATTAAACTAGACTTCAGGAAAGATGTCTGGCATGAAGATTTAAATTAGAGCTGTTCACATTTTAAGCTACATGAAAATGAGGAATAAGCAATGGAGACAGATAAAAACAGCACATGCCTGTTTAAATTGCAGAATTAAACAGAAACATCTAGAAAAGTGGCCAATCACAAACTCCTATCCCTGTGTAACCGAACATGGTGCAGTCTTTGCACCTCACATGCTCTTCCCTCTCTGATGGAGACACTTAGCTTCTCACAGACAGTTGTCGCCACTGATATCTATCATCTGTGATGGTTGTGAAATGGTTGCACAAAGGTCGCAAACCCAAAGAACCGCCGCCTTTGAATTGATTCCAACTCAAGGCATCCCTCCACTGGGTCGTCAAGGCTGTACATCTTTATGGGAGGAGACAGCTCATCTTTCTCCTGCCAAATGACTGAGGAAATTGAACCTCCAACCAGTTTGGTAAGAAGCTGTGCTACAAACCCAAAGGCACTTGGTCCAAATCTACCAGCTGCTCCGTGGGAGAAGGATGGGCAATCTCCTCCCATGCAATTTACTACCTCTGAAAACTTGACGGCAATAGTAATAACAACAGTAGTTTTTCAAAAATTAACAAAAATTCCCAAATCCTGTATACCACACTGATGCTTCAGGCCTCACCTTCAGAGATTCAGACTGAACTGTCAGCATCTATTGCTGTTAAA